TGAAGAAATTTTTAGAAAAGATTTTTTCAGAGAGGGGGAGAGAGAGCAAAACATGGAACAGGGCTTGGTTGCCTCTTCCTCTACCACATTCCATCCATCCCCTCAGATGAGGATCTGGCCTGCAACCCAGGCATGTGCCCCGATTGGGAATTGAACCAACAACGTATCAGTTTGCAGGCCAGCCTCAAGCCACTGAGCCCTATCAGCTAGGGCAGACTAAAATTTAAATCCTATAAAACTATGGGACATTAACACAATGGACTACTACTCAGTGGTAAAAAAAAAAAAAAAAAAAGAAAGTTTTACCTTGTGGCAGCATGGATGGTCCTGGAAAACACTATGCTAAGTGAAACAAGCCAGGCAGAGAAAGTTTCCACAATAGTTTCCATTCATATGTGGAATCTAACAAACAAACCTAACAAGGAATATGGGGACAGATTCATAGAGGGACAGCAGGGTGACAGCAGGGGTAGAGGGAGGTTATGGGGCTGAGCAAAAAGGAAGAGGGACACACAGACATGGACAGCAGTGTGGTGACTGCTGGGGCAAGGAGTGTATGAGGGGACTAAATGGCAATGGGAAAAAATACAATAGAGATTAAAAAGCTTTAGATCCTAGTAAGGACTGGGAGCAATTATTACTCCTACTTTCCCAGCAGTGGGATGTAATATCTGATCCTACAGATCTGGGTAGCATTTAGGGAGATTACAAGGAGGGACTCACCCAAAATGTTTGCAGTCAGCCACAAGCTACTGATCATCCTTTATACCCAATACCCAACCATTACTTCGAAATCTATCTTGTCTCTATTTTGAATGTAACCTAATTTAGGGCAAGAGAGTATTTTTCAGTCTTAGTTTTCCCACTATCAACACCCCCTGCCCCCCAACCAAGAACTCACCTAAGGGCCACAGTATTCCCCAAAAGGAATGTTTTTTAAAACTGAACCAATAAAAACACCTATAAACTTAGTGATGTAACTCCATTCCACATTTTGGAAGGCAGAAACTTTGGAAGGGAGTATGCTTTGATAACAAACATGGAATAGAATGCAAAGTGAGATTCCTGTCAGGCTTTAAAGAACTGACCAGCCACCTCAACCCCATCCCTAAACTAACTTCAAGCTAAGGGAGTGGAGAGAGACAGACAGGTGTTGATGTCTCTTAGCCCCTTCTGGCACAGTGAGTACTAAGGTGACTGGCCCATTGTGATCTGCCGAACCAGTTAACAGCAAGATCATGTTAAGACAAGCCTAGATTCAGTCTACGGATGCAGTGAACCGAAGGCAGCCTCTCAGGCACGCATGCCTGTTCCTGAGAACCCCCAGGGTTGTGGTGGGCTGCACTGTTTCATCACATCCCCCAGGCACCAGCTAAAGCCACCAGGCCCAGTGCACACATGACATTTGCCAGGTCAAAGCCACTGGGCAGCTACCTAATGCTTCTTCCATCCAGGGAAGGCAGGAGAGGATCTTAAGGCAAAACACCCTAACCTGGAAGACTAAGAAAACACAGTGGGTGACAGGTAGTCTGTCCTGCCTGTTGTTCAAAACTTTATCTGCTCAGGTAGCAGGCCCTGGTATTGGCTGCTGCTGAAGACCACCTAATTCTCGGGGAGAGCCCTGGCCAGCCCCCTATTCCATTCCACATGAGCCACTTAAGACTGGATGGAGGGACAAAGTAAAATCCTTATGCAAGATACAAAATGCCCCAACACGGACGGGAACAAATGAAATGACACAGGAGGAAAACTACTGGACGAACCCAGAACGCAGGCCATTCAACTTTTCGTAGGTTTTTTCTCTTGAAAAAGTTATGGAAGAGGAGATGGAAGAAATAGAGGCTAAAGAAACTTAATGACGAAATCCAATTAATGAATTTTAATTAGATCCCAGATGGTGTGTGTGTGTAGGGTGGTTACAAAAAATGTTTCTCTGGTTCCACAAGACGGAGAAATAGAAATGACATGCTAACTGTCCTATTAAGTAGTGGGTACTCGGTTGCCCACCATGTCATTCTTTTCCTCTTTTGTCTTTGAGAATTTTCAAAATAAAGGGTTGGGGTAAAGTGCGGTTATCGCCCTGCTTGGTGCCCTTTACATTGGAGTTAAATGTAATTCAACAGGTACTATTTGGGTCCACTGGAGCACAAGGTGAAACTTAGTGGTCACCTCTAGGATGGGGGAATGGGTGACTTGGGAACCGCCATGGGAGAGTTACTGACACACCAGGAGTCTCCAGTCTACTCAAAGATAGGGACTATGTTAACCTCCATAGGCAACACATGCTCTCTTTGCACTTTTTTTCCCCAACCCTTTAAAAACTGTAAAAACCATTTTTAGCTCAAAGGCAATACAAAACCCTGTTTTAGACTGCACACTTTTGTCTTTTAACATGCATATACTACTTATTCAAATAAAAAATATTCCTCCAAATACCTTTCTATTGACTTTTCTTTCCCATACTACGCATCAAGTGCCATTTCAGAATATTTATTTCAATTGGGAAATCCTAATCCGTTTTGTCTTGCCACAAGTGGATTAAGTCCGAAGGTGAGATACCAGTAATCCTGAACCCTGAACCCTGGTACTGAGCACTCATCAGTTGGCCCAGCCACTCGCTGACCACAGGTATCTGTGGGCAATTACAGGTGGGGTTTGGGGCCATTTAGACTCAATCACGTGTCCTTATCCATACCAGAACCAGACAATTCAAATCGGGCTAATTAGCAGCCTGGTGTCCCACATTATAATGTTCTGCTTAGGCTGGTAACCACTAATGTCAACTCGTAGAAACATTTAAGTGTTACCCGGCTAGTTTTCAGATTGTGTCTTCAAGCTTACTTTGAGAACTGTGCACCCAAGAGGAGGTAGCTGCCATTCTTAGCCACTCAGACCAGGAGTGAGTCAGTATGCAGTTTCGGTGGCCCAGCACCAAGGCCAGTGCCCATGGTAATGACACATAAACAGAGTGGCGGGAAACCACTCCCACTCAACAAGCAACTCACCTGCTGCGCTGAAGGTTGCCTGCCACGGAATCTCCTCTGAGGGCCCCTCCACCCCACCTACAAAGTTACAGAAATGGAGAACTGCCTTCAGTGGCTGCCCCTGGCAGAGGGGATCGTTTGCCCCTTTATAATCGCTCTCCTCACCTTCATTTAGTTGTTTCACACTACACACTTTAATTTTCAGGTGTACTGAGGAACAGGATCTCTCCGTGATGCCTCACTCAAGGCATCATGCGAGTTGGAACTTTCTGAACCTCAACTCTTCAGAGCCATCCTTCTCCAAATACTTACTGGTGTGATGCCCGATTTTCCCCCAAATGCTACAACTCAAACAACACAACCCACTACACACTGTGATGTGATGTAACAGAAGCAGCAGCTGTGGGTGCAGCTGAGCTCTATTAAAACAGACCAGCAAAACTGTAAATTAATGCTGTTACTACTTTTTGTTTTGGAAAATAATTCCTTTCATGAAACTACTATTTTAACATGTAAATGGGTTTTTATTATTTTTAGTTTCTAGTTTTGGATACACCCCACATAAACAAATGCACTTCAGAGTTGTGTTAAGGGGTCCTGAGACGAAAAAATTCAAAAACCACCGCATTAAGGAACTCTTAAAACTGGACAGAAATGCAACAGACAGCATGTCATTGCAAAACAAGGTGCTGGAATGCTCTGGGTAAACTCATCTCCTGTCAAATTCCAGGCCCTTGTAATGGGAAGTCTCACAAAGATCAAGGGTATAAGAACAGCAACTGCCAGGCGCTGCCCCTCCTTTCTGAGGAGTCCTGGCGAGCCGCTCCTCTCAGTAAGTTGCACTCTCCTGATCACACCCTTATCTGTGCTTCCCTGTTAGCAAGACGTCTGATCCATCTCTCCAACCTCAGTACTTCCCACATTAAAAGCGCTCCGTCAATGTGGCTGGATGTTGGCTGCTACTCAGTTTGAGTCCCTAGCTGAGTGGAACGGCCTGGTGTCAGTAGGCAGTGCTCAGAAGGGCAACACACAGGGGCTCCCACGTGGGTTTATCCATGCAAGGTGCGGGACCTGGGGCACACAAGGTCATGTCCATCTCCACAGCTTCACTTGCAGTGGCACTCTCACGGTTCTGAGTGACCAACGCACAGGCGACTTCACTCACCACAGACAAAAACCTCGTCACGCACAGTGTTATCTCTAAAGTATGAATTACAATTTTTCAAAGACTTCCAAAAAGCCATCTTCTTCCACTAGGTGAACAGTGCCCCCCACCCGCCTTTACTGGAGCGTGCCCAAGCTGGTGGAGGAGGGAAGCCTCTGGCCGGCACTCTTTCCTGTAGACAGAGCCCTCCTCATGGCAGAACACCCCCCACACCCAGAATGTGGCCATTCAGGTGGTGAGCATGCTGCCAGCTGCCAGCAGCAATAGCAGGCTGTAGAGAGCTCAGGCCACACCAACTACGGCTGCTGACCACCTCAGAAAGACTGATTAAAAAAAAAACCCCACAACACCCAAGACAGTATATGTATGAACATTTGTAAGTACAAAGAACCACCTCATCTAACACATGATGGGTCTCCAACAGCACTGGGCACCAGAGACCAAACCAGGCACGTGACCAGTTTTTGTTTAGATTTACACCCCACCCCAACCCAAGGCTCAGCAGTTTAGTGATTTGTCCGATGATCAAAAGGAGCCATGATTCAGGCTAAGGTCTTTGCACTTTCTCACAAATTACACGCCACCTTCAAAGATCTAGTTGAAGTCACTCATTTTGTAGGAGAAATAATGATGGTCCAAAAGGTGTAATGATATTTCAAGGTCAGTAAACCCAAGTCCAATTCCCAGACATAGGCGCTTTCCAATATATGTGGTCTTGCCCCTTCCCCCGCCAATCCAACCTCTTTCTTTGAGTGGGGGAGAGGGAGAGAATACCTGCAACCAATCAAACCCACTGAAGCCCCAGCAACAGAAAAATTAAATTCAATAAATAAAACTATGTAGCACTGACATCAGATCTGTAAGTTTATTTGCTCAATGTACGACAGCTACATAATGACTCACATTCATGATATTCCATCACTGAGGAAAACTGCTAAGAATGGTCCGTGTGTGAAATAATTCCTTAGAGAAACACGGAGTTGGAAAAATAATCACTGATTAGACCTTAAAAATAGTTCACTGCATAACATGACAAAAAGCACAAAGGCTCATTCAGAGAACATGGTCGATGTTCTCCTACACTGTAATAGCTATAATTTCACCATGACAAACACCAGACATTAAGATTAAGCTAACACTGGTGTTTCTTTTGCTCCCCCCCTTTTAAAAACAAAATATATAACTGCATGTCACTATAGCAACATCCAAAACAGATCAATTTGTTACAATCACTATTTGGTAGAGCAAACTTTACCCCCAAAAGGAAAAATTAAATTAAAAAAAAAACTTTAAAAAATTTGAAGACTTGATTTTTTTGCCATAGGAATACATAACACCTACAGTATAAGTTAATAAATTTCAAGCTACTGTATAGAAATACAACACTAGCATGCACAATATTGTATCAATAGAGTAATGGAGGAGTAATCATTTCACCAGAGAGACAGTATCATAGGCAAGTGCATTTCTTTAAAAATAAAGAAAAGAAAAGGAACCATTCAAGCTGCTTAAATATCAAGTCTACCATTCCCTCTTCATTTTTAGCCCTCAGGTATGATTTTATCTTGCATTATTCTAAAAAGCAGCCAGAGCCAAAGCTGAAATTTCAAAAAAATATATAGGTTTTGTAATTCCAGTAAATCATTTACAAACGCTACAAGGACACAACACTGCTCACTGGACAAGAAGATAAATCAAGGAAAGGCCCCCCCACCCCGCAATCTTCCCCCTGCCACGGCGCTGACTTTGGGGCCCTGGAACGGCAGAAGGGCTGTGAAGTTTTCTTCTGTGGGTTCTGCTGGCTGGGTCTGGTTAACTGGGACTTCCACTCTGGCACAGGAAGGGGACCTTCTAAGGAAAGTCATGCTGGGTAAACTGTGCAATGTTAGAGAGTATCATTACCATTCTATCTTCACTGTAACCTGGATCCTGTAACTGTAACCTTTTTGTAACTGTAAGCTCAATTTTGATATTAGTAAAAAGCAAGCGTCAGTTTTCCTCAATCATCACTTACACTTCTCCTTGCCTAAACAAGACAAACAAGCCTGGTGTTGTTACCTGTCTTAGGAGTTCACACCGTAACTGACCTTATAAAAAAGGCTGACCACACATGCAATGGGTCATGTTTTCGGACAGAGTTATCCAAAACGAGAATGAAGGACTAAGGCTAAATGAGGACAGATTTGTGAAACTAGCAATGTAGTTTCCTTCAATTTTAACACGTGCAGTAACTGCACAAGAAATTAATCTCTGACATCTATGCATTTTTTAAAGAGAAAAACCTATATAGAAAAAGTTTTGGTCAAATAGAAGTATTCATATTTACTATCTGATAATGATTTTAATTGGAAAAGTTTTCAGGGAGGAAAAGCCGACACGCAAGGCTCCCAGATCGGACAGAACGTCTATGGATGAAGCTCTTCCTTTCAGGTTGTTGGGCCAGTCGGCTTCTGGCGCCTGAATTTTCACACACTGCACCACGGACTTCCTCAAAACGACCACCCAGCTTCTACAGCCCAACAGCTTCTCAACCGAGTGGCGCCAGGATGAGGTGCAGCGGGGAAGACTCAAGTGAAGAGTGACGCGGCAGCGTGATCCCTGAGGAAGGAGCTGTGGCAGTTTACGAATCAGGACTTCTCTGAAAATACCAATACAATAAATGACATACAGACCTGAATTTTCTCCGTTTTTGTGGTGTTTAATGTTTCTATTAAAGTGGTTAATGATTTTTGTGGTGGATCTAAGTCAAGAGGAAAGAAGACAAAAACCCCACAGCTACCCGCCAAGCACCTATTAATCAAAACCTAAAGTAGCTTTGATGCTCCTCAGGCAAGCCTCTGGCCCAGGAGAGACAGAGAAAGAGAACCTGGATAAGGCTGAAAAGGGGTGTGAAGCCAAAATAACTAGCAAAGAAAAATACAGTCAATGGCTTGATGTTACATATGGCTGTAATGTAGAAATACTGTAAACTGCAATTTAGTGTTAATACTGTCAGCTAATCAGAAACTTCAGGAAACTAGCAGGGCCTAAACCATAAGGATAAATTATACCTTATGTTCCGAGTCTGTCAAGTTTGGGATTTAAACTATTCCACGTCTGGTAGATTACACCCTGAAAAAAAAATGCACAGCTAAAACAGATGAGATAGAAATTAAGACACGAACATATGTACATAACAATCCTTACTGGAACCACAGAACTTACTGAATGAGGGCCATTCCACTGAAGTTTTCTTTTCATCTCAAGATCCTATTATCTAGCAATAAGTTAAATTAAAGACAGACAGCTCCACTTGCATTAATCTACGGAACAGTCCATATGCCGGCGTGAGGCTGCTATTCCAACACCAGCACAGCTAGCCTGACTTTCCACTAGTGGTATTTTGGCAAAATGTCAAAGAGGCAATCAAAGACAGAACAGGTCGTGGGTTTCTCCCTAGGAAGGTCGTCCCTCCCTTTCCCTCCCCCACCCGACCCCCAAACTCATGGGAAAAAAATAAAGACTGCAGTAGTAGCATCAGCGTGCGCTGCCAGTCCACCTGCGGGGGGCCTTAATTGTTGCCTTCTCCACCATCGTCGTCTTGCTGATCGCTTGTCCAGAGCGTTAGGTTGTCGCGGAGGAGCTGCATGATGAGAGTGGAGTCCTTGTAGGAGTCCTCATTGAGAGTGTCGAGCTCGGCAATGGCATCGTCAAAGGCGGTCTTGGCCAAGTGGCACGCTTGCTCTGGGGCATTCTGGATCTCGTAGTAGAAAACGGAGTAGTTAAGAGCCAGGCCCAACCTAATGGGGTGAGTAGGCTGCATGTGCTCCTTGCTGATCTCATGGGCTTCGCTATAGGCCTTCTCGGACGATTCCACGACAGTCGCCCTTTTCTCGCCAGTGGCCACTTCTGCCAGGTAGCGGTAATAGTCCCCTTTCATCTTCAGATAAAACACTTTGCTTTCATACTGGGTCTCACTGCAATTCTTGATCAGGTAGTTATCCAGCAGGCTCAGCACATCCTGACACACTGCTTCCAACTCCTTCTCTATTTTCTCACGGTAAGCTCGGACCATCTCTATCTTCTTCTCATTACCGTCTGCAGAAGTCTTCTGCTCAATGCTACTAATGACCCTCCAGGAAGAACGGCGTGCCCCAACTACGTTCTTGTAGGCCACAGACAGAAGGTTTCTTTCTTCATTGGACAGTGGCTCATTCAGCTCTGTTACCTATTAAGAGGAAAAGAATAAAAGAGGTGTTATATCAGTTGGGTTAATCATACCTTTATGCCGCTCAAACACAAACAGATCCACAAGCTGATTAAAGTGACTCAGAGAAGGCGGGCTGGGTGAGTGCATGGAAGGGGAGTGGAGGTGGGAGGAGCAGTAGGGAAGGGGAGACAACAATCATAGCTGGGTCAGCGGTGCCTGAACCCTGCTCCCCCTAAAAAAGGACACATACCCATCACAGCTAGTCCATGAACTGTCAAGTCTGGCTATTACATTGCAAATCAAATTTTGACCTAACTTACAAAAGGTCAACAGTTCTCTCTTGTTCCTCGGGATTCTAGTACAAATGGCTTATATATCTCTTATATACCAGTCTGTTCTTGTAAAGAACAGAATGACAGCTTCCTTCTAATCTTGCCTTGTCTTCAGTACTATCCCTTCTGGGTGAGAATATTTTGAGTACTGGTTGAGAATACAGTCAACTTCAAGTAGACTTTTGAGAAATAAGGATGCTTTCCTGCTCTGTGTGAAGATCCTACCAATTACAAATCTCAGAGAGGCAGTCAAAACTGGGGGGATAGGACCGAGTCTGACCACTGAGATTTTAGCAACCTGGGAAACACGTATTTGTCGTAGTGTTTGCCTGAATACGTTAGCAATACAAAAGAATGGAGAGGTGAACAAAGTGCTTCTGGGCTGAGGTGGCCAATAGAATTAATGCTTCTTTCAATACAGCCATTTCTAAAGGGTCTTCATCACCCCAAGACTAACAATCCCCTTGAGAAAACAAAAGCAACAGCACACCAAGAACTCTGGCCAAGGCGGCAAAGTAGGTGAATGCTGAGCTCGCCTCCTCCCACGACCACCTCAGATTCAACCAAATTGTGGTGGTTAGGAATCCAGAGGGACGGCCTGGCTGCAGAGGCCTCCCTGAAGTGCGAGGGGTCCCATCCCCACAGGACCTGGCTGTAAAAATCAGTGGGGAATCCGTCCAGGTGAGATGAAAGGCTGCTGGAGTCCCTGTGCATGGACTGACTGCGGACACTCCCGCTCGCTGCGCTCCAGTGCTGGGGCAGCAACTCAAAAAGCACTAGGGACACATGGGAAGGAACCGAATTGTCTGGCTTCAGGGCACAGGATGGAGGCTGGCCTGGACAGAGTGCCGGCAGGTGGCATTGCTCCTTTGTTGAGCCCTCCCAAGTAAGCAAATCTGAGTCTTCATCAAACCAGCTGACACTACTCACTGGCCTCACCCTGATGAATACCCGAGATCCTGCCTACCCAAACTGCGCACCAGCCAGAATCTCTTTCACAGGCTGTACCTCACAAGCTACTGGCCCTGGCCCATGCTGCAGTCTTTACTAAACTATCTCAAAGGTCCACAAACCCCAAGCAAGCAGTGGTTCACCTTAGTGTGTCCTGTTCCTCTTGCTGAGAGGCCCCCAGCTCTAGTGGAATCTGGCCACAGTTCACAGCACAGCCTCTCTTCCAGTTCGTCCAAGCCCAAGCACAGGCAGCAGCCGACCATGGCCTGTACTAGAGGCCCTCCCAGAAGGTCCTAGAACCAATATGCCTGGCTGGCTTCAGACTGCACCAGGGCACCACCCAATCTGCTCCACAAATGACACACCCAAATAGTGGACTTGGTGCCAAATAGGCACCAGAACCACACCAGAACCCCACCAAAGCAAAATCTCTGTGGAGTCAGACCCTATACAATGGTTCCTCTGCTGTAGTCACGGCCAGTCCTCACAGCTAGTCCACCTGAGGGTCAATCCCAGTGACATGCCAACAGCAACAAGCCTCAGCCACAAGAGGAGGATACAATACAACCCACATGAGGGGCACCCCTGGAGCACCCAGTTCAAGCTAACAGGAAGATTCTGCCACTGGGTCCACAGGACATTTAACTCCTGCCAGCACTAGGAGATGGAGCAGAACTTCCTGAATACTCAGAAACAAACACAGGAAGGCAGTCAAAATGAGGAGACCAAGAACATATTCCAAATGAAACAACAGAACAAAATTCCAGAAAAAGAACTAAACAAAATGGAGGCGAGCAATCTACCAGATAGTGTTCAAAACTGGTTATAAGGATGCTCAATGAATTTGGCGGAAGAATAGATGGACTCAGTGAGAACTTACACAAAGAGAAAGAAACCATTAAAAAGAACCAGTCAGAAATAAAGAATACAATGACTGAAATAAGAATAAGTTAGATGGAATCAACAACAGACTGGATGAAGGAAAGGACTGAATTAGTGATCTGGAAGACAAAGCAGCGGAAAACACCCAATCAGAAGAACAAAAATAATTTTTTAAAAGGATAGTTTAAGGAGCCTCTGGGACAAGAGGAACAAGATGTGCATTAATACATGTAACAGAAGAAGAGAAAGCAAGGGATTATACACCTACTGGCATAAATAGTGACAGAAATCTTCCCTAATGTGTAAAAGGAAATAGACACACAAGTCCAGGAAGCACAGAGAGCCCCAAACGAGAGGAACCCAAAGAAGCCTACAGCAAGACTCATCATAGTAATTATAAAAAGGGTTGAAGACAAAAAGAAAATCTTCAAAGTAGCAGGAGAAAAGCAGGTAAGTTTCGTACAAGGGTGCTCCCATAAGACTGTCAAACTGATTTCTCAACAGAAACTTTACCGACCAGGACTTGGCAAAAAAATATTCAGAGTGAGGGAAAGGAAGGACCTACAACCAAGATTACTCTACCCAGCCATGGTCATCATTTAGAATGGAAGAAAAGAGAAAGCTTCCTAGAAAAGAAAAACCAAACTGGTATTACAAGAAATGTTTAAAAGCATTCTTTGAATAAAAAAAGATAAAAACTATGAATAACGAAATGGCAAAAACTACATAGCTATCAATACTTTAAATGTAAATGGATTAAATGCTCCAATCAAGACACAGGGTGGCTGAATGGAGAAGAAAGCAAGGCCCTTACATAAACTGCCTAGCAAGAGACCCACTTCAGATTGAAAGACACGCAGACTGAAAGGAAAGTGTGAAAAAAGATACTTCATGCAAATGGAAATGAAAAAAGGCTGGTAGCAATACTTATGTCAGACAAAATATTTTTTTTAAAACAAAAGCTGTAACAACAAAGGACATTTCGTATACAATAGCCAAGATATGAAAGCAACCTAAGTGCCCATTCACAAATGAATGGGTAAAAATGTGATACATATATACAATGAAACATTACCCAGCCACAAAAAAAAAAAAAAAAAGAAAAAGAAATCCCACCACTCGTGACACCATGGGTGAACCTAGAGAGCATTACGCTAAGTGAAGTCAGAGAAAGTCAAATACGATTTCACTTACATGTGGAATATAAATAAGATGTAAATGAACCACCAAAACAGAAACAAACTCATAGATGCAGGGAACAAACTAATGGTTGCCAAATGGGAGGGGGGTTAAGGGGCTGAGTGAAAAAGGTGAAAGGAGTGAGAAGGACAAATTGGTGGTTACAAAACGGCCACAAGGATGTAAAGAGCAGCTCAGGGACCATCGTCAGCAGTGCTGTAATAATTGTGGGTGGTGCCGGGTGGGTACTGGATTTATCAAAGTGGGATAACTTCCTAAGTTACAGAAATGTCCAACCACTATGCTGTACACGAAACATAATAAATTAAATAAAGACACTGACACTACATTTATATAACTTGATTTCTGTGCTATCAGAGCCACCCCATACATACTACTAAGGGTCTGACAACCATATGAAACAGAAGATTTTATAAGACAGAGCCCCCCCCCCGTTACTTTTTATCCCTATTCTGAGGTCACATTTTTATCTGTCTAGTTCACTAGCCTATCTAAACTGGTGTGTACTAAGTCAACGGCTAAGTCACAACATAAGGGACCCAGGTCATCCACTATTTCCTAAGTCACAGCAGAACAGGCAGTTCCCTCACCACACCCTCTCCTGTGCTTTAGCTGTAACATGTCAGTAGCAAAATGGTCCTACTTCTGCTTTTTCTTCTTCTGCCTCCGCCTAGAACATCTTCCAATGTTCCTGCCTGGAAAATACTTACACAACTACCAAGAACCAAGTTCATATCAATGTCCCTATGAAATCTCCCCCATCTCTCCTTCCACCCCCAGTTAAACTGACTACTGTCTAGAGGCCTGACTGTTCCCTGTGCAGATCAACTACAGCATCTACTTCATATTACTCATGGATGTGCTGGGATGCTGACAAATGGTTTTCTGTGCAGGAATCATTTATACTCAGTATGCATTCCACTTCTATGAAGGAGATGGGGTGGAAAAGGGTTGTTTAGTGAAACTGGTTGTGTAAACAGTAGCTCTCAAAAAAATAATTAAACCAGAATGTAAACCAAATCATATTTATTATAGTTTATTGCAATTCATTCTTTGAATGAACTGATCATGCTTTGCTTACTAATTCTCTTTAAATATCCCACAAGTAATATACATTCAAATATTTCCTCAAGTTATCAGTAGTTTTTCTTATGTTAATCTTACACTATGCATTACTGATTCTCCAGCATCTCCATTATAATGCTGGAGAACAGTACCTCCGCCAGAAACGACCCCAGTGCTATGAGCGCACAGTGGGAGACTAGGACTCGGTGTACTGGACAGCAGAGCAGAAGGAAACCAGGCCGGAGGCCTGCGCCAAGACCTCCCTAACACATGGCCTTGTGGAAACACTCCGCTCCTGAATAAAGAGGCTTATCAGCTCATATCCAATTCTTTATATTATATATTCTAAGCTCAGGAGACACTACTCTCAGCCCTCAGGCCACTGTCACTCCTCTTGCTTTCTGCTGAATATTCAAATATCCCAGGAGACAGGGTCTTTCTGAGTCTCGGCTTTTACTAAGTGACCTGCTGAACAAAACATTTCATCTGTCTGGGCCTCAGTTTGCTTATCTGTAACATGGAGACTTCTGCCTCTTTCACACAGTGATTGTGGTTATACCAGACAAACAATGCAGTGCTTGACACAGC